TCCATTAAAATGTTTCATGGCAGGATCAGCTGATGGCACAGTAATACAAATTTGAGTTATGTAAGATGAAATTTATGTTCCTGGGCAACAAGCAGCACTGTTATTCGTTATTAAATGATATTATGTCATTACGTTTCCAAATGATAAGAAATTTCTTCTCTCTGTCCAGGTATCTGAATAATGCAGAAATCAAAATGCCTTCACGCACATGTGATTAAGGCAAAGTTACAACTATATATGCAACCGCAATCCACTGTGGCCCTTATTTTTCAGAGAAAGTATGAACCAGTTTGTTACAGTGACCTTTGTTACTGCTTCATTTTGGTTAAGCAAATAAACTTAAAAATTTATTCCGGCACAAGTTTTTCAGAAGTCACGACAACACAATTAATGCAAAATCTACATGAATGACACTTAAAACTGGAGTTCTGGAAGGGACCCAATTTCCTAGCATAAAAAGTTTTTATTTCAACCATTGGAAATATTTCTCACCAATGGACTATACAGAAGCTGTTACTCGTTTTAGTGCACGATATGGCGACTTGATGGTGGCACTAGTAACATACATCCTGGAATTCATAGCGTGCATTTTTGAATGCGCAAGGCCTACTGTGATTTGGAAACTTAATTTTATCAGCAATTATACATTTGTATCTCAAGTACTTTGCACATTTCTAGAACTCTTGCAATGTATAATATTCACAATAAACTCAACGATTTACTGATTACTGTTGTTGGATGAAATATGTGAGAACTATATTCCCATTTGTTATATACTCATAACCTAACCTCAAGTGATAAAGCAAGTTCGCTTATTTCTTCAAACAGATCTTCAGTGATGGAACTTTCTAACTGTAAATTAAAATTCTACTGACTTCATCTCTTATTCCATGCAGGTAGTACATTTAATTTTCATATGAGTAATCAAAGACTGAATGCCATTTGCTCTCCCTGATTACCCAAATGATTCAGAAGCAGATGCTAACTCACGTCATGTCGACCAACATGAATAAAAAAGTATATCAACCCCACCATCATTCCCTACTATCTCTGTATCCAGAGTGTTTCTGGTCATCTCAGTCAGAGCATTGAATTTGCCTGTAATCAGCGAGGTCATGCAACTCTTTGACAATTATACAGACACCGTCACCAAGTGGACACAACAGCTATTATAAATTACAAGGCTGTAACCGTTGTTTGAGGCAGTGAGAACGCAAATGATGGAAAGGGCTGGTAAATAACTGGTGCTGCCATGGGTAGACAGCACAGAAATGAGAGTTCCAAACTCTGTATAATTTCATTTGCACTGAATATTTTTTTTATGAAATTTTGACTGAACTGTTTTGTAACAACTTTAATGACAAGAATTTGTCATTTATAAAAAAAAAAAGTCTTATTTTTTCTGTTAAGTCATCAAAATTCAGAAGCCAAGTGGGAAATATTTTTGAATTGTGTTTTAAAAGAAACTCTTTCAGGGGTCCAATAATAAGTATATAACTATTATAATGTTGATACCTACGTTGTGTTCATGTGTACGTGCTATTAACAGAATTACAAACATAGCTAATAAAATTAAAAATGAAATAATGATCAACGAAAGAAAGAAAGACATGCAGTTTTGAAATTCTGCATTTTTCAAAGTTTGCCACTATAAGAATCTTTGCACTAGCAGAATGGCCAGTGTACACAGATTCATTACAGCTACCCAAAGAATAAATATTTCCTTATGAAACATGAACAAGGCCAATAATTTCCTGTCAAATTTGAAACATCTTTGCACTGAAAGAGATCAAGGCAGATGTGACACTGTAAGATCATACTCCATGACAATGTGACACCAAACAGTGTCTGGCAGTTTGGACACGGGGTGTTGTAGCATCCTGCTTAAAGTCACCACTTTGGCACCCTCAGACTCTGGTCTCTTTGGACCATCAACAGCATTTATCGCGGCAGCGGCTTGTCAATGACAATAATGTTATTACTGTAATGACGATATGGTCACATATAGGTGTTTAACATCACATTTCTTTGCGCTCGTTTCCTGCTGGAATAAAGGCCTCAACAGGGATTGTAATTACATGTAACAAATTCTTATCATGTGTACGTGTGTGTAAAGAGTTGCATCTCTGTCGTAATATACCAACAGCACATCTAGGACGACGACAACAGAACAGACCTGTAGTGAACAATGACATGGAAGTTACGAAGGTATTAAATCAAAATAATGTGTCGAGATTATGTATCTCATCAAATTATTAGTGCTGCCTGGTGGACAACACGTAGAAAAGGATGATCATTTGACATTAATGACTTAATTAGGAAATTAGGTAGAAAATTAAAAATTTAACAGAAACATGCAGGCCACTCAGGGGGGAGGGGGGTAAAATAAAATTAATAATTAAACATTAACTAACTACACTCCAGTAGGAGAATCTAAAGCTTCAATGTTGCTATTGGACATGATCACAGAGCAGCTGGAACCACTTCCCACCCTCACAAGTGACTTCCTTATGTCCGTAACAACGGTGTTATCCTTTTGCCCTTTTTTGGGGAACCAAGATTTTTTGTAACCAAATGATCTGACTTCCGTATCATAGTTCTAAGACACATCGTATAGGTTCCTTAATTTTACTATCCCATGTATAGTAGATGGCCTGTGCAATTCACAAAGTCTTGACATTATATACTTCATTTTACTTTAAATTATCACGCCATCCTTCCGAAGTCCAAATATTTCCTCAACTTCGTTGTTTTCAAGCATTTGTAAAAAAAATGCTTACAGATGGCCATGAGGTTATTACGATACACCAACTACACAGATTACAGACACCGCATTAACCAAAATCTGAAGGTAAAATAATAGTTACTGAGGCAATTATAAAAAAATACAAAATACAAGAGACAATGAGCAGAATCATCAATGCCAAGACAAGCTGTACAATAAAAAAAAAACACCTGTACGCACTATTTTGAACTTCTTACTAAACAAACAAGACAGACCTATCAATTACAAAAGAAATGTAAGATTTGAGGTTTACACAGCGGTGAGTATGAAGATTTCTGTCTTCTGGGTTGTTGCGCTGTGTAGTCTGGTCGATGTTAACCAACGTTTCGCCCTGATGACGGAGGCAGTATGACCTCTGAAACGTCGATTAAAATCGACCAGACTACACGGCGCAACAACCCAGAAGACAGAAATCTTCGTACAATAGAAATGCTGTATATTTGCTCAAGGGCCATGACATACGAAAACCACCCAACAACTATGAGAAAACAGTTTTTGAACAATACGTTTTGAGTTCAATGGCTTAACAAGAGTACTGAACGTGCTTCTGAAATACAGTGTTCAGGAGAAAACTAAAGAGGACGGCAACAGAAGGACTTTGTGCTATGAAAGATAAAACACAGCGAGAAATAAAAATATTCAGAAATGTCATTATGAGAGATGGGAAAACAGTGGTCATGTGGAAACGAGAGGATATTTATACAGATCATAGCTGGATGAGGGGCATCAAAACATGCTTCATGGCAACTGCATATTCCTCATTATGATTATAAGTTTCTGTAAACAAGGGAGGAGAAATTATTAGCTTCCTCAGATGAATGTTGTCAATGCTGAATTGGTGCTATGCAAATGACTATGTCTGTTCCAGCCCAGGTAAAAATTCACACAAGACTTCAGGTTGTTAACCAGAAAGGCGTTTTTTTCCCCACATTATGAATAAATCAATATCCACAAAGCACAAAACCATATGAGACATGCAGAACTATTTGGACACCACAGCCGAGGATCAAGGCAACAGGAAACGTAACCACACCATAAGCACCCCATTATACTATTCATACAAAATACGACAATTCTGGACTGAGGCAAAGTCATGGAATTCTGCGTTTAGATTAGTGGGGAAACTAAGTGTAATAATTTGGTTCAATCCACCTGGCTTGTAACCGAGAGACAAAACTGCCCACAACTTTACTAACGCAATGCTTGTATCTTAGTGAGAAAAAATGGACGTGTCATTGCGCAATTCCTTACTTTGCTAGAATTAATTCCACAGAAAAGAGATTGCTACTAACAAATGTTAGGTAACATTATAATCATTCAAAAAAAAAAAAATCATTTACTATATAAAATCAAACCCTTATCATGCACATGACAAAATAAAACAAGAGATGTCAATAGAAATTCATGCCATGCACAGGGATTGAGAATTCAGCAATAAAAATAATCAACAACATTAGATACACAGGAAAGAATTCAGTACAACATTATGACAAATACAGAGAAAAATAAATCTACTCATCAATAAACTTAATTATGTAAATACGTAATCAACAACATATATTTTAGATAGACAGCTAAGCTCAAAGCTGCATGAAACCAAAAATACCACAAAGAGAAGAGAAATGTACTTGAAACTTTATAAGCACTAATATATGTATAAAAGAGGAAAGTCACATTAATTCAAGGCAGATGGCACATTCGAAACGCAAAGTAAAAATTAATGACTATCAGTACTGAAGTGTAAATATTAGCAGAAACTACGCAATAAAAGCAAGACATGATAGAAGACGACACCGAACACTCTTCACAATAAAAACCGTACAATAGTAAAAGGTGTAATTTCACGCTCTCACAGCAACAAGTACGAAGATGGCTATCAACTGTCAGTACCACATGGCGCAACAAAACAGAAAACAGCCATCTTTGCAAAATTTCCTGGGATAGGCCTAACAAATGAGCACAAAGACATTTAAATTTTCATTCCCACATCACATTTTGTGTACAGATTCTTATTTCACTAAATACTACGAGTACTGATTAATTTGTACCATATCCCCCTTTACACGTAAAAAGTTTCTTCTCCTGAATTACCGACATTTTCGTCAATGCAATATAACAACATTCAAGCTTCAGATGATCGCATCTACTATACTCAGTACTCTGTATGTCGGCAAGCTATCAATGAATACAATTTGTATCTAGCAACACGCCTTACCTTCATCATCCTCTTCCATGCTGTGAATATCATGAGGATGTGTCTCCATGATGATCAGGGCATCGCTGTGTTTGCGCTTGGCACCGCGTTCTGCCATCGCTGCGGCAAGCCCCACGGTACTGCTACTGCTACACAGCTTGGGGTTCATGGCGGTCCGAGGCACGGCCCTCCTCTCGTCATTTTTATTATATTCAAACATCTGCCTTGAACTCACAACAGCTTCTTGCTGCTGATGCTCGCCGCTAAACGACGACAACGAGGCGACCGTAGAGGATTCAACGTACATATTCCCGACACTTTTCCTCCTTTCACTTTCGCACACCATATGTCCTGCGCCGGCGAGGCTCACCATGATGTCGCTCCCGACATACTTCCCAGTGTAATCGATTTGACGCGGACTTGAGGCACTGCTGCTGAACTCCCCTTCAGTAACAGTTGGACTCACAAAGACACCTTTACCACTACTCACTCCCCAGTCATATTCAGTCTGGTCTCCTATAATAGAAGTGTCTTGCTCGTTACTACTCGACACACAATGCACCATGGGCATCGCAGATGCCGGTACCCCAGAAGAAGATGGCTGACGTCCCGGAATATTTTCTCCATTAGTACCAACACCACTATAAGAGCCTGTGACAGCACACGAAGGGGACGGAGATGAGAGACCATCATCCGTACTCCCTACACCTGTCAAATGCGTAGTAGTGTCAGCAGATGGTGTCAGGGGATGACCATCTGAACTGCCACCACTTCCGGGATCTACCGGACTGTGTGTCGTGGTGTCTGGTGGACTGCCTCCGGACGAAGCGGCAATTGAAGTCTGACAAAATGTGTTATTAGTTGTCACTACAAGCGATCCGCACGTCACTGAAGGAGATGAGGATGCCTGAACACTCTGGTTCACAGCGGTCTGAGTGGAGACTGAATGTTTCATCATTAGGGGCAGCTGGCCAGACTGTCTGGAAGGTGCAGGAGGAGATGATGATGATGATCCACTACTGCTGCTCTGCTGGACCGCGTTCAGCTGCATCTTATCTTGCACACACTGTGAGCCACTGTTCCCAACAATGAAGTTCTGCTGGTTCACATTCAACGTGGTGCTCGATGTCACGTTACTGTTGCTGTTCTGAGAAGCCGTAACAAGTTGTTGGTTGTTGGACACCATCGTAGTCTGTTGTTGGACAATTGTGGTGTTCTGCTGCACTACAGTAGTGTTCTGGTGGTTCTGAGTCGTGGCGGCCGTGCACGGTACCAACAGGGTCTGTCCCACTTGTCCACAGTGTATGAACTCTTGCTGAGATTGGTGTGTTCCTGTAGGTGAAGTGTTGGCTGTGAAAGACATCTGCTGGCTAGGACTGACGTTTGCTACCAGTGGACTAAGCTGCCCACCAAAGGCTGCTGTACCATTCATAAGAAACTGTCCTCCATTAGGAGAACTGGCCAAGAATTGTGGCCCTCCACCATTTTGTTGCTGCAGCATTGGCCCTGTTGCCATCTTACCTCCTGTTGTTGGAGTGCGAATAACCATTCCTGCAGGACCTGCCGTGAGAATGCTTTGTCCAGTCGGATGGCCAAATACTGTAGCTCCTCCATGATTCTGAACAGGAGTTAGAACATTCTGACCATTGACATTCTGCAGTTGCAACTGAACACCGAGGTTGGTTGCATCTGGAAGGAGGGTAGTGGTGCCATCCGTTGCCATGACCATGCCTCCCAAACTAGGGACAATAAACTGCTGGAATGTTGGGAAGTTCTGAACGACACCTGTTGCACCATTCAAGAGATTCACAGGTTGAAGAAGATTTATCTGTTGTGGGGGCTGTGAAGTGGCTGGTGCCGCTATTAGCTGCTGAGTCCCAAAATGTCCTGTAGTTGTGCCTGGCTGCCCATTCATGAGGATCTGTGCAGGTGCTCCTCCCTTCCCCGGAACTATAGTAAGTGCCTGAAGCATTGGTCCAGTTGTGGTTATACTCTGATGAGGACCAGACATCGTGAAACTCTGCTGCTGCTGCTGTTGCATGACAACACCGGCTGCAGCCGCTGGGGAATTCTGTTGAGATGCTATGTGCAACATGGAAGCCACAGTCTGTGGAGACACTTTGCGTTTCTTACTGCCCCCTTTCTTCTTCCCACCGCCAGGTGTGTGAAGATGCGACATTTCAGGCGGTGACAACAGCGACGATTGCTGCGATGCATGACGGACATACCCAGCAGCGCTCTGTGCGTTCCGAGAACCTGGATGATCTTGATTCATGGTGTCCAGCAACTGCCCTATGCCATTCCCCGTGTTGTTTGGTCCTTGAGAATGATGGAGAACATTCCCTGTTGCAACTGTTAGGTGCGGAATTTGCATAGTATTCTGATTAAGTCCAGTCATTCCATCAACAGTCATCATACTAGGCTGGATGAGTAATGGTGTTGGTAAAGCATTCACTAGAACTGTTGGCTGACCAAGGACTTGCTGTGCCACTCCAACAGCAGGGATAACCTGAGTCATTGCTGCAGTCACATTTGTCACCATGGGTGACACTGACAGAGGCGGCATGGAGGAATGGCTGACAAGTTTTGCCATGGAGTGGGGAGGAGGTGGCTGCGGTGGTGGTGCCATTAACCCTGTACTAGGGCCCGTCGGGGTCATCACACTCCCGGCATTTGCCATTATCAACTGGCCACTGCTCGAAACAAAGATGTGTCCTGGAGGCAGCCCAGGCGGTGCCCCCGGGGGTTTCAATAGAGTGGTTGCTTGCTGCTGCTGCTGTTGTGTTGCCTGCATGTTATTGCCTGTACCTGACATATTCTGGTGTTGCCTGCATGTTATTGCCTGTACCCGACATATTCTGCTGCTGCTGGTGAGGAGGAACCTGAATACTGCTCACAACACTCTGAACCATCTCTAATGGTGATTTGGACATAGTGGAAACTTGCATGCCCTGCGAATGTCCAGCCAAAACTGATGTGCAAGGCTGCGGTAAAGTCATGATGGTTGTCTGATTTGTGTACAATGATGGTACAGGTTGAGGCGGGGTGTTTGCAGTTGAATTTCCAACCGACACAGTTGCAGTATTTGCTTTTCCAGCTAGTACCGATGTTATCGTGTTGCTGCTTACTGTATGTCCACTTGCCATTGTTGTGACCATCGTTGAAGACTGGACGGTGAACTTCTGACCTCGTATTTGATCATGTATATGATGGCAAAAGTTTTCACCCAGTCTGTTGTTGGGGTGTTGCCTCATAACAGGAGGGGTCGATGCACCCGGAGAACAGGAAACAATGTTCTCATTTCTGGGAGCCTGAAAGTGTCCCTGTGGCGGATTTGAATAAGAATAGGGTCCAGGAGGACTTAAGTTAGGAACAGTGAATGGTGAAGATGAAGAGGAAATGTAGATATTATTTGATGCTGACGATGTGTCAGGTATCCGGCAATACTGTGATGAAGTTGATGTGGATGAACTTGGTGATGCTTCAGGCTGTGGTAAAGCATATGTCTCCACAGGAGAGCCATTACTCGTGCTAACAGTACCCCCTTGAATTGGTCCTCTAGAGTCAGATGTCACTGACGCCTGATGACGATGTGGTACAGGATTACCCAATCTATCAAATGTTGATGATGTTACAGGGCTTTCCTCTTGGACAATATTAGGTGTAGGAGTCACATTACTCGGAGTCTGCTGGACCAACGTGTCATTCTGTGTTCCTCCAGAATTAAGCTGCACATGGTAATGTTTGAACTCACTTGGCATGTTATGCTGCTGCTGATGCACACACTGGTTCCCAGGACTCACATTTGCATGTTCGGGCTGTACGAGCGGCTGAATCTGCTGCTGCATTTGATGATGAAATAATATATTATCACCTGACCCACCTCCAGATGTAGAAACTGGAAGTAGTGATCCTGAACTAACAACACAACCCTGACAATGATTTCCCATTTCCATTCTCTGTTCAGGCACTGCATTGCTGTCAGGCACTGCGGAACCTTGGTTCTGAGGCTGTGTGTATGAAGACGTAGGAATTGGGCTACCTATACTGTGATGTAGTGTAATAGCTACAGGATTTGGAATACAAGCATGGGAATTGAGGTTTTGTTGTTGTACAGATATATTAGGATTTGTCCTTGAGGTAAAACCGGGGGTTCCTTTTGGTGGTGGTAAGAGGACATTACTTGGCAAAGGAACACCCACAGCTGTTGGTGAAGAACAGGAAGTGGGAACGGTCTGAGGGCTCGGCACCTGATGGTCGGGAGTGATGGGATTTCGAACCGGGCTATGACACATAAAGTTTGGGCCACCAACACCGGTCTGGCGTGAAATGGTGCTGTTCAGTAAAGCTGTCTGCTGTGCTAGATAGCCACTAGGGTCCTCCATAAAGGATGGAACATTATGGCTGGTTCCTGCCATGTACGTGGGATTAGAACTATCAGTATTATTGGCATGAGAGGGTGGAGGTCTGTTATGCTCTATGGGAATCTGACGGACATCGATGTTTGGACAAGGGGCATGAGAATCCATAGGTGAAGGTCCTCCACTTCCTGGTATTCCAGCAATACCGATTCGATGATGCTGCTGATGATCAAGGACATTGTATGACCGCTGTTTTCTGTTAAGTAAACCAGACTTTCCTGATCCCTTTGGCTTCTTCCTTGATATTTCTTCTGTCCAGACAGGTAGTGGAGGTGTGTGATGATGCAGAGGGGGAACACGGTCATAACCACTAGGAGATGGTAAGGTGTTAGACTGTGGCGTCGGCATAACGATCGGAGAATGATGTTGCTGATGCATTGCTGTTCCTGTACCTGTATTATTGGCAATGCTTCTATTTTGCTGCTGCCATGGCGGTGCTCTCTGCTGGTGCGTCATCATGATAGCACCACTCCCAGCCGAACCAGATGACGCCATATTGTGGTGATGCTGTTGCTGCATTTGTAAAATATTTTGATGTTGTTGTTGAGAAACTGTTCCTGTTATCTGCTGTCCTCTGCCATACTGGTCGACAAAGACGCTGGCTGAAACTGGGATGCCTACACCACTGCTGCATGACACAGATACAAACTGCTGCGGCTGCCTGGTATTTTGCACTGCAGAAGGCTGTTCCTGCTGCATGGCAACTTTGTTCTGATCTTCTGACAGAGACTGCGGAACTTGATACGGACTCTGCTGCTGTCCATAGAACTGTTGTTGCTGTTGTATTCTTAACATGCGGAAGTCCTGAGGACTTTGGCCAGAACCTGAAGAATTCACAACACCTGAGTACATAACATGCTGCTGCTGCTGCTGCTGTAGTACCTTATTGTTGCCACTGATGGCACCACCACTGGCATTTTGAATTTCATCGGGAGCCCCGCTCATAGACGGCGCCCTTTGTTGAGGGTAACACAAAACACCAGGATTTCCTCCACTATGAACCATCATTCCACTAGCATTCATCATAACTTGATTATCTGTGTCACCTACCATCAGTGGGTTTACTGCGTTGTTACTCATAACAGTGGGGTTACCAGCATTACTTCCACCCTGATGAGGGTTCACACTACTGCTGTTACTCTGGGTATTAGAATACTCCATCACTGGATTCCCAGGCTGAATATTCACGACCGACTGACCATTGCCCGTGACTCCGATCAAGCTATGCTGCTGCTGGTGGTGGTGCATTAAGCTGCTCAGATGGACAGGAGAGGTGTTCTGATGAACCATGACATTGCCACCTAAAATGGTCGAGGTGACTGCTCCATTTCGGGCAGTGTAACGAAGGAATTGCTGAGAAGCGTTAACCCCTTGAATGACGTTAGTGTCAGAAGTGAAGTTAGGAGGAGGAAACTGAGTCGTGCTTGGTATCTGCGGACCACTAGCAGGACGCTGAGTTGTTCCAGCAGAAGATGGTCCTGCACTCCAACTCTGTGTCAGTAAAAGAGGATACAATTAGAACAACATATCACTGATGCACACATATTGCTACTCGGGGTTTCCTTGTTCACCTGTTGACCTCCCATAACACATCATCATACACCCTTTTTGAAAAGTTTTCTGCGGTGCATCTTCATGCGTTTCTCACACTCTAACCCTGAATGCTATGAAACAGTATGTCTCAATTTCCAATGTGCCAGGAACATCTCAGAAAGATTATCATCTTTTATAATTTCCTGCATATATCCCCCCCCCCCCCCCCCAAAAAAAAAATGAAGCTACCAACGCAAGTAAAACTCAAATCTTATGAAGAGAGGATTGAATAACTCAAATTATTGTATCAGTAAATTTCACAATCTGATTTTGTGTACTTGCTTGATTTGTCTCATAAATTTTATGAGCGGACGAGGCAGAAAACTGTCGGCATGGCAAGTAAGGGTTCAGACTATAACTCTATCGAGTTTCTTTCACACAAAAGACACTGAAAAGTGAGATACGTCATGAAAACCCTCTAACAACTTTGTGAAAGGTGTAATCTTCCTGGGATTATGCTTTAAAGTGCAAATGGTACGCAAGTTCAGGCACGTGTATGTTCAACATTCATACACATCCGACTAGTTAAAAGCTATGAAACCTTGCATTACACATACATGCTAGATATACGAAGTTGTACAGCAGCGGTAATTACTTTAGAAGAGAAATACTCTTAACACTAAAGATGTAAAATTTCCACAAATTTTAAACAGTGGGAGTCACTGGGGGAAAAAACCAGGGAACAGAAAAAAATACACATTTTATTTCCATCAGTAAATAAGAATTGAAGGGCAAGCACTTTGAAAAAACTGATATCCTATTAGATTATGTTCTGAAGTTGAGTAAAAGTAGTTTTCACTTCATATGCTACATATAATTAAACTGTGGCTTCAGAATCACATTTTACAACAAATTAAACAAAACCTCGCAAGAATTTAACTGGAGTGGCAAATTAAATAAAACGTTCTTTGGATATTTTCCATCGTCCAGTAAAATAATAAAATAGAACGACGTTTCGGAGATGGGGCTCTATCTCCGTCTTCAGGTACCTATGCTGTTGGGCCCAGTAGACAGAGCTAATCCCTGTCTCCTGACAAAGTAATTAATAAGTAATTTGTTTTGGAGTGTGTTGTTCTTTTTACGTCCCACGGATAGATGGCGGGGTGATCATCTTATATTCCGGGACTTTCACTTTTTACTTTGTCTGCAGATAGGGATTAGCTCTATCTACTGGGCCCAACAGAACAGGTATCTGAAGACAGAGATAGAGCCCGATCTCCGAAACGTCGTTCTATTTTATTATTTTACTAGACGATGGAAAATATCTAAAGAACTTTTTATTTAAATAACTCAACATCGTCATGAAATTTTAGATTTGGAGTGGCAAACAAGGGTAATACAAAAACACACAATTCCCAGCACTCCCAGTTTATTCCCTCCAAGGATTCCCAATTTTTTCCCATAAAAATGTGTTCAGTAGTGAAAAACAACACTAAAAGCTGTTCTGGGAGACAAATTCTTGCTGCTATTTGGCAACTCAACGTGAACAAATGCTTTAAAACCAAAATTAATTGAAGCCATTTAATTTAAAAACGAAAAGGATATTCATAACAGAATGTCAGGCAAGTAAAGTTGTTGGGCTACTCAACCTTTTGGGCTAACTATACATTTACCAATACTGTCTCAACATTCATTCCAAGGTAAAGACGAAGCAAACAGCGAACATGTTACGTACACCATATTTCACAAGTAATGACCAAGTAGTGTTTCGACTGGGACTGAAGTCCACTCAGCCCACAATCAACTGCAACTCACCTGAGGTGCCCGATCGGCAGGCTCTTTGCTTTGGGGAGGTGTCCCAGCAGCGAGATTCCTTTCCCTCTGTGCCAACAGCTGTGACACTGACACGCCAGAGAAGCAACCAGTGCCACTCACCTTTCGCTTCTTGCGCGCTGCCCCACGACCGTCTGGAACATACGTTCATAACGCTTAAATGAGAACCGTCTTCTTAAGAGAAGTCACATGGACAATTACCAAGTTTTACACTCTAGTAAGACTTGAGGTTCTCACAGCGGTGAGTATGAAGATTTCTGTCTTCTGGGTTGTTGCGCTGTGTAGTCTGGTCGATGTTTACCAACGTTTCAGAGGTCATACTGCCTCCGTCATCAGAGTATGAAGATTTCTGTCTTCTGGGTTGTTGCGCTGTGTAGTCTGGTCGATGTT